GAATCAGTCATCATGTAGAACTTGAGAGTAGTAACAGGCTGTACTCGTTTGTGGAAATACATAGGTTAAATAAAGACAGCTAGCCAATAAGAAGCCCAAGCCAATGGCTAGCAGTATTATAACTAATATAGTGTCTACATGTTCATTTGGGACTGACGTGGCTCTGGGACCAGGCTGGTGGGAAGAATGCCCATAACATGTGTATGTGTGTGTTTATGTACATGTATGTGTACACACAGAGAAGGATGTGAGCCTGCAGTGAACACATGAACAGAATGCCTCTGGCAGGCTCTGGTGAAGGCACGCAAGTTCTTTATACTTTTCCTAAAACTTTGCTGTAAGTATGGAATTTTTAAATTTTTCTAAAAGATTTTGGATGAATTCAGGAAACAAGGAACAAGCATGTAGATGAGATGGGGCCTAGAAAGGCTGTGATCTGGTGCTGGAGGGGGTGCTGTGCAAGGGACACTACTGTCTTATTTGGCCTTGTTTTCTGGGCTCCTCACTTGCTGGTCTGCACTATCTTTATTTGCAAGGTTGGGTTAACTCAGCAGTCAGGAGGCAGGAGCAAGAAGATCTCAAGTGTGAGGCCAGTTGGAGCTACATAGTGAGACCCTGTTTTAAAAAAAAAAAAAAAAAAAAAAATGTCTGTCTCTTTCAATGTGATACTGGTTTCTTAAATGCAGCTGGTACTCTCTGGAAGGTCCAGGATGAAGGCAGCAGTAATATCTGACAGAAGTCCACCTGTTTTTTACCGTGCTAAACAGATCTCCAGGCTGGGAAGAGAGTATAATGTAGGCCTTGCTTCTCTGGCTGGAATCTCCAGTCAGTGTCAGCTCAGAGCCAAGGGCATGGGGCATTGGATTCCCGTTGGATTCTCAGCTGGCATGGAGTCCTTTTCTTCCCAAAGGAATGGCCAGAGCTGTTGTAGCACTGGGTGTCTCATGTCAGACCAGGGCGCATGCCTTCCACAACTCTAAATCCTCTTGTCTAGACAGTAGTCATCCAGCTCCATGGGCTACCTGTGGGTCTCCCACAACTGGAATTTGAGCATATGGCTGCCCCCATGGAATTAGTGGGCATCCTAATTGGGCAGTGGCATGTTCAGTGGCTATAGTCTGGCAAGAAAGGTCAAAAAGCAGCTCTGGCCCCCAGTTGAGCCACCTAAGCTGGCAGTAAGCTAGATTAAGGAGTCAGTCACCCTTATTCCACAGCTACACTCTAACAGGCTACACACACATCCCCATTCCCAGACCAGAGACAGTGTGTCTTCCACAACATCTCATTGGCAAGGGAGGTTCAGTAGGCACCTGCCACCTGTTAGGACTCTGACATAATCAACCAGGCTAGGCTGCCTCTAACCTAGCAGAAGAGCTATCAGCACCTAACCACCCTATCCCCCCTAAGGCTCCCAGACATGCATCCAGTCTTCTCCCCCAACAAGCAAGGAGCTTCATCCCTACTCCCCTGGGCCACAATAATCACTCTAGAAACTACTCCCCAGAGCTCCAGAACCAGTGCCCTGGGGACTATGGGCAGGAGGAAAAGTCTCTAGGGCCAGATAGGCAGGGAGACAAAGGTAGTGTGTGTGTGTGTGTGTGTGTGTGTGTGTGTGTGTGTGTGTGTGTGTTTACCAATGGGCATGTTCAGGAGGAAAAGTCTCTAGGGCCAGATAGGCAGGGAGACAAAGGTTGTGTGTGTGTGTGTGTGTGTGTGTGTGTGTGTGTGTGTTTACCAATGGGCATGTTCCCTGAGCTCATGGAGCTGGTCCTTTTCAGTCACTGGCCATAATTATTCTTGTACAAGACAGGTGAAGGCAGTTGGCTCCAGATTGCACCTACCTGTCAGTAACAGAGGCTTAAATTCAAGGTGATCCAACTCTTTGTCCTCTCAACAAGGTAGATTTTCTGTCTTATAAAAGAGGTCACTAACATGTGGGGTTGAACAGCATTCCCAAAACTGTGGCTAAGCCTGTGATTTAGAGTTACTGCCCTTAACCCTGCCTCTATCTACATCGACTCCTCAAATAAATGCTTAAGAAATGTATAAGACACTGATGGGTGGTGGTGGCACACGCCTTTAATCCCAGTACTCGGGAGGCAGAGACAGACTGATCTCTGTGAGTTTGAGGCCAGCCTGTTCTACAGATCGAGATCCAGGATAGTTAGGGCTATTATACAGAGAAACCCTGTCTCAAAAAAAAAAAAAAAAAAAAAAAAAAAAAAAAGGATGAGAAGCTGAATTACATGGGGTAGACGACATGGAGGACCCAAGGAGCAAAAATGGGTGTCCTTTGTTAATGTTGACACAGCCTGGCATGTCCTGAGTGCATGCCCTTTGTTAGTGTTTCCTGTCCTGGCTTGCTAGAACACAGGTGTCATGTAAGTATGAGAGGGAACAAGTATGCTGGATCCCTGGGACTCCTCTACTTATAGAAAGGGGCCAGGAGGTGAGGCTGGGTCATTACACTCCATGTTGCTACCAGACATCCAGCCAGCACCCTCTGGGTCTGGACTATTCTGGCTCTGGGACCAACGTCTTCTAGCTTGGATTGGGGGACATGTAGTATAGTGTGTGGGTTTCGTTAGTCTCTAGCTCTGGGTGGGGGATTTTCTATATCCTGTATCCTCTCTACCCCCAGGGTCAGGTAAGAGTAACCCAAAGAAATGCTTCTTGGTGTTTCTGCTCAAACAGCATTTGCTGCAAAATATGTCAAAGCATTTGGGCTTTGGTTTTCAGCTTAGAATATGCCAATGTTTTCATTTGGAAGCAGGAGTGTTTCTGTTGATATAGTAAGAAGACAAAAATAAGCCTTTTTCCACTACGTTATACTGTCTGAGAGTCTACTTGGCTCAGGGACAGAGAGATGCAGCTTAGGATCACAGGGCATAGCCTAGACTCTGTGAGGAAAAGGAGGCAATGCTTGTTGAGTAACTACATGAGTGAACACACAGAGGTCCTACAACCAGGAGGGACACGTGGTCTCTACTCGGGTTCTGAGTGGATCCCAGAGATTCTCTCTTTTAGGTGTTCCCAGTGTGTGCTTGTTTGCCCATCTTCACTAACCCCATCTTGTCCAATCCCCTGGCACCTCTGGATGCATCTCTTCACTGGCTTCATTGCTCCTACACTTGCCCTTCAGTGCATTCGGCTCATCAGGCAGTCTCTTCAGAGAACATGAACAGATGGACTGTGTCACACCCTGCCAGATGTCTCAGGCCCACCCCTGACTTCTTTACGCCTCTGTGTCTTCAGCCTCTTTTTAGCTGCTGAATGCACCATCCCTCTCCTATCTGGAGATGTGGGCACTAACAGTTCCCTCTGCTCAGACTGCTTTTCTCCAGAGCTCTCTGTCTGGCTCCTTCTTTCAATCTGGGGCTCAGCTCATATTTTCATCCCTTCAGAGGGGCCTTCTCTGACCCTCTAATTAAAGCAGCCTATCCCTATTCTCCTCTCGAGGTCATTCCTCACAAAGCATCTGCCAGAGGCCAGGTGCTGTGCATACAGCAGTGAACACAATAGCAGAGCCCCTAAACTCCTGTTTCCCGGTGCCCACTCGTGTTCCTCTTCAAAGGCTCGTGTGCCTGGTCCCATCTGTCTTTGCTCACCAAGTACTCAACAAATAGGCATTTGTGCAATGAAAGAACGGATGTAAGGCTGGTAGGAATGCGGAGCAGCTGGCACATGCCCTGCCTCGCACTTGGCTCCTGTGAAGATGTCACTAAACTTAACCAAAGAGGTCTTCAACGATATCTTGCTTTGTCCCCAGGTATCTCCTGCTTAGTGTGCATTATTTCTACACCAGAGTGTTCTCCAAATCCCATGCTGAAACACTGATCCTGAAGAGATTCTGTTGGGAGTGATTAGGTCATGAGGATGGATCGAAGTCACCAGAAGTGATGGTGTAGGGGTGATTAGGTCACAAGGGTGGAGCCCTCTGGTAGGATTAATGTCCTTTGGAAAACTATCAGAATGAAATGTTCGCTGTTTGAGCAATGATATTCTGGAATAGTATCTCAAATTAAGATACCCTCTTATGGCAATGTTGGTAATAGGATAAAAGAGGGTAACAGAGGAGAGGAAGGGCAACTGCCTCCTTTGGGTGCGTGACATTAGTGTCTGTTATCTAAAAAGGGGCTTCTGCCCACCAACTCCATATGCCCCTTCATTGCCACTGAGGCTCTACGCCCTGCCAAATTCCAGCATTACCCAGCTATAGGGGTAGGCTTCCCCTATAGCTGGACCCAACAGATTGCCTATCACAAATGCTCTCTCTCACATAGCCCAGCTGGTCCCTTTGCTTGGGAGACTTTGGCCAGTCTTATTCCTTCCTGGACTCATATTACCTCTAGCTACAACAAGCTTCTTAGCAGAAGCCTACAGGCAGGCCTTCAGTGCAAACCATTCTGTGGTTCCTTCTGCTGACCCTACGGTCTCTGGCGGCCTTGCAAATACTGCAGACAAAGCCAGCTGCAGCTCAGAAATAGAGGCAGCCTATAGAACTGACAGCCTCTGCAGATCTGAACTGCGGATCAACCCAGGAGCCCTGAAACCTGACTCCAAATACAGCAGCAGATGCCCTGCCAAAAGGAAGTGCAGCAGCCTTGTTTGCCGAAGGTTTCCATTCTCCCAGCCTTGGCCCTTGAGTTTAACTACTCCCTCAGGAGGCCACAGAACATAAGTGACCGGTGCCTCTTATGACAACAGTCTGTCCTTGTAGGACAAGTAAGAATTCCCCAAACCCCAAGGTCACCAACAGGACGGGCTGAGACTAGGGGAAGCAGCTGATGGCTCCACCTCAAAAGGTTTTGGGTACAAATGTTTTTGCATAAGTCATGGGGTAAATTGCCCCTGGCTTCCTTTCCATGGGGGAATCTCTCCAGACTCCACCATGCCTAGCATTCAGTCAGACCCAGAGGCTTGGGAGAAGGATGTGAATCTGCCTTGAGGACATCACCTTTCCCTCCCCTGCAATACATCCCCATCTCAAGGGCACTTACGGGCCTCTTCCTGGGGTCTCATGCCGGTCTAGATGGTGCCCACAACTAGTGGCAGTGGCATGATATGGGCGGCTGGTCAAGGCCAAGAGTTGAGGATGGTGGAGGGCAAGTGGGGGAGCAGTAGTGAAAACCTTATTCCAAATATCCATCAAAGACATCGAGCTCCGAGTCAGCATCATAAAGGCCAGAACCGGGATCCGAGAGTACGCCGAGGTCCACCAGCGCCTGATCCAAGTCCTCGGGCAGAAAGACGAGGCCCACGTTGAGGACGATGTATTCCATGAGGAAGGCGTAGTAGAGGATCAGCACATTGACGAAGAACAGGCCCACGTAGAACATAGAGGGCAGCAGCGGTGGCTGCACGTAGGAGACCAGGGGGCCCAGAGCGTCCAGGTGGGCTGCGACCCGGGCGCCGGGCATGCAGGGGCCGGCGGTGGGGGCAGCGGCCGGCGATCCCAGCGACCTCAGCCGCTGCGGCGCCTGGGCGGCCGGCGACGGGGCAGCTCGGCCATCCAGGGGGCACCCCGGGGCTCGTTAGCGGCAGCGCTGGGCCCCGGGGGTCCTCGGAAGACGCTCCTTGACCCCCGAGATGCTCGGGGCCGGATTACGGCGCCCTGGGATCGGGATGCAGGCCACACGGGCCGCTCGTCCCTCAGGTTCCCTCCTAGAAGTGGCCAGGGGCTCTCTCGGTGCGCCGCGCTCGCGCAGCCCCGGGGCAGCTCAGAGTCGAGGCTGGGTCCCCGCTGTTTTCTCCCCCAGCCGCTTCTCAAGGCAGGTCCGCGCCCCCGCAGGTTCACGGCCCATCGCTGCGGCCGGAGCGTAGCTATGCAGCTTCCCTAGCCTAGCCAGAGGCTCTGCGCTCATTGGCCAGTCGCATGCTCACCCACATTTCATTGGCTAGCTCAATGCTCAACGGTCATTGGCTCAAGATGCCAGGGGGCGGGTACTCTTTTGCTCTGCTCCTTAGGAAGTTCCCCAATCTCTAAATTGCTTTCCTGAAGTTGGAGATCCTTAGCCCCTGCACCTTGCTAGGTGCCTCACATCTTTGGAACCCAGCCTCCCCATTTTAAATGAAACCAGGAGTAAAGAAGAGATGTCGGCAACTCCACTGAAAATCTTAGATATTTTCAAGGCGCTTTTTTTTGGGGTTCTTTTCACAATAAGGTAAGAAAAATCAGTGAGTGACTCTGACAGCTGACGGGAGATCACATTATTGGATTCCATGATCCCGAATGGGCCGGACCACAACAGGCCGGTCAAAGCTTCCGCCAGTGTGAAGTTGCTTATTGTTTCTTTTTACTGCGTAATCCTTGTTTTAAAAATGCTAAGTTAAAAACTGATGCTAAGTAATAGAAAACTTCTAATCAGAGACCTTTGCTTACAGACAACCCCCGTCCTTCTTTAGCGGAATGAGTTTGCCAAAGGCTCCTTACATCGGAATTTAAACAGCAGGGGATCAAAACCAAGGTGTTGTGTGTGCAAGATGTAGGTAGACAAGAGCTACATCTTCAGTACTTGAAACCACCACCATAACAACAACAAAAAACCGGGCTCACAGAGGTCTACTTGCCTCTGCCTCCTCTGCTGGGATTAAAGCCTTTGTCTAACCCCAGCTCTTAATAGGTCTTTGATATAAGGTCACACTTAGCTTCACAGGAACTGGACAAGACAATGTACTACATATCCCTTTCACAGATGAGGAGACGGAGCTCCAGAGAAACGGATCCTCAAAGCTGTTGAGCCTGTGTATTTTCTTTGGGGGTTAGAATCTGCTCTTGTTCTCTCAGGACTTTTATTGCCTCTCCAGCTCAGTTACAGGGAAAAACATTAACCTGGTGCTGGCCTCCATTTCTCTAATTCTTGGAAGTAAAGCAAACCATCATTTATTCACTCTAGCAATATTTATGTGCCAACTCTTGTCCTGGGCACTGGAAAGGTCATTGGGCCCTGACTCAGTTCTTTTCTTAGGGCATTAATGGGTTACCTCAGGAACTGTAGAAATGGACACATGAATGAGTACTGAGCCACAAAGTCTTGCTTTCCACAGAGGTCCCCACTTCAATCAAACCTGAGAGGGAAATTCAGGTATATGTAAGCTCACACAGAGCTTGGAGTTTTCTTTCTTCCTTAATGTGTTAGTTTGAGAAATGGCATGAATTTTGGATGAAGACCAGAGGAAATCGCTGAACATTCATTGTGTTTAGCTTTAGTATATTGCAGTTTTCATCTTTCCAAAATGCAAAAGACTGAAGTGCAAAAGGGAAAAGGGTTTTACAGAGAAACAAGGATGTCACTGACTTTTTTTGTTGACAGAAGCAGATAAGGATACCTGGGCTTGAATCCTTGCCACATGTTAAGTGCCTGACCTATCCATGACTCTTATTTCCTGGATTGTAAAATGAAGTCAATAACAGCATTTACCTCACAGAGTTGTGAGAATTAAATAGTAAATCACTTAGGATAGTGGCATATAATATGCATCACTCAATGACTTTATTTCTTATTTAATTCTTACTATTGTGATATTGAAGATTGCGCCCACAATGAACTAGCCACATTCTCAACTCTAAAAAATTGAGTTAGGGTCTTCAAAACGACTAGATGTTAAAAGATACTCGTTGCCAAGTCTGAAGACCTAAGTTCAATTCCCAGAGACCAAATGATGGAAGGCGAGAACCTACTTTCGAAAGTTGTACTCTGACTTCCACACGTGCTTGCATGCACGTGCACACACACAAATAACAAAAAAAAAAATTTAATTTGAGAACTAAACCTCGCCAAATTTCCAACTTGCTGACCTCTTGAATCAGCCTCTTCAGTAGTTGGGATTTCAGGAAACAGTCTTCTTTTTCTAATCACGAAGCTAACAATCAAAGTATCATACTCCACTTTCCACAAACTGTCCCCCAAAACTCTGCGCACAAGTCGGTTCTCACCCATCCCACAGTGTCCCGCCTACTCCCCTCCTCTTGCCCCGCCTCTTCTCGACGGCCGCGCGAGTCATGCCGGTCCTTGTAGTCCGTTCGCAGAGTCCCGTCGCCGGGAGCCTCGCTCTAGAACTTCATTTCCCAGAGTTCCTCGCGACGGCGGCCGTAAAGCGCGGCGGTCGAACGGCCGGTTCCGGCTGAATGTCAGTGCGGGGCTGTGGGCCGGGGAGGAAGGTGCTTGGCGCTCTCTCCGCCGCCCCCGCCTCTGCCGGCTGGACTTGAAATGTCGCCGCGGACGCCGGGCCGCTGGGAGGATCGGACATGAAAACCTGAGGCGGGCGACGGGGCTGGGCTGCGGACATGTTTGGCCGCTCGCGGAGCTGGGTGGGCGGGGGCCATGGCAAGTCCTCCCGCAACATCCACTCCTTGGACCACCTGAAGTGAGTGTGCGGGGCGCGCGGCGGGGAGGCCGCGGGGCCGGGCGCGGACGTCCAGACGCAGGCTTGGCTCGCTGGGCACCGAGGTGCGAGGCGGACAGGGTCGCCACGGAAGGGTGCTACGCTTGTTATCCGGGAGGCTTTAGAGTCAGGGCATATGGCATCGAACCCTGACTCTGTCGCCCCTGGCCCTGTGACCTTGGACAAGTCGGGTGACTTTTTAGTTTCCAGACCCCCAACCTGAAAAGTAAGGGCATCTATGAGTTTTCTGTTTGTGGACAGGAGTTGTCATGATGCGGGGTAGACGGTGGCCACAGAGTGTCTCGGGGTGGCACTTCTTGGACTGGATAGTTTAGAGATCAGAGGCCCCGGAATCGGTCCGACCCGGGTTCGAATTTAGAAGTATGCGTTTAAGCTTCAGTTTCCTTAGCTGTAAAATGAATAGAGTGACAGTACTACTTTCTGTGGTTATTTTTAGGGTTGGTTGGATAAGAGAATGAACAAAATGCGCCGAACATGTACAAGTGCTCTAAAAAGAACAGTGATTAGAAGAACGAAGTGTTTTCAGAAGGAAATCTAGAGGGATAGTCAGCAGTAGCACTTTGGGATAGGTGGCTAACAGAGTTCTGAGGACGCAGGAACAAACACAGAAGAGGCTAGCTTTGGAGTTAGACCTGTGTTCAAATCCTGATTCAGCCACATAATGACTGTGACCTTGGTCATATTTTATCTCTGCTTTTCTAATTTGCCATTACTCACTGGGAACTATGAAGTGTACAAAGATTAGGTACACTTGCAAAGTGATTGACCCAGTATTGATACACAGCAGGTGGCTAATAGTGGTGGGCAAGCCTTCCCAGCCTACCCCAAATCCTTTCTGTCTCGTGGTTTCATTCATCATACCTCTGCTGTCTTCTTTGATTCTGTGGTTTCTTTCTAGCTTTTGTTAAGCTGCTACTTCCAAGGCATAAGAAGCTACTTGGTTTCTTTGCAGTTGTATTTCCAGGATGTAGCAGGTACCTAAGTGCACAGTGAGAACCCAGTGGATACATAAAGAATGGGGGAAAGGAAGAAGAAAAAAAGAAAAAGAATACACTGGGCAAATGTTACAGAACATTTAGACAGAGCCTTGGGTGGGGGTGACAAATTGAGGGAGTGGTGGAAAATAGAGACCATTGAGGAGGGAAAGGCTGGAGATGGGGTGCTAAAGGGGGTGGTATGTAAGAAGGCGACTTCTTTTCATGGGGGCCCCACAAGATTTCTAATGCTAAATCAAGGTCAAGGATGGAAAGATGGTGAGATAATAGAAAGGAAGACAGGGGTCCCTAGAAAGGATTTGTGAACTAAAAATTAGGTGGGGGCTTCTCCTTTGATCCTGGGGTTATAGAATGGCTGTCATGGAGCAAGCATTTAGTAAATGTTTATGCATCTCCAATTGTGGAGAACAGGATGGTTTGGGGGTGGAGCAAGAAGCCAAGGAGAGGAGGGAGGTCGAGGGCAAGAATGGGGGGTTGGTAAGGATGCAGAAATCTTAAACAGATGGCAGATGGCCCAGAAAGGGAGTGTGGTGTGCATGAGTGGCTGAAGGCTGAAGGATTTGAGGAATGTGTGTGTGTGGATATGGCTCTGAAGGGGAGGGTGTATCCTGAGGGGCTGGGCCTGCTACCAGGCCAAGCACCTGCTGACTGTCCCTTAGCTAGGGCTGTAGTCACTTAAAATTCCCATTTATTGTGTTGTTTTTGTCTTGCTAAAGATTTCCTGTTTTCTTTTAGTCATCACAAGTTTACGAGTTCTAGGACCTTTTATTGTTCCCATTATGTGGACTTGGGGGTTAAGATTCAGGGAGCTTAGATCACCTGTCCCAAGGTGAAACAGCTGAAGACTGGCAGAGTCAGATCTTGACTCTAGTTTTCTTGTTACACTGTCTTTTTGGATAAGACTCAATTTGAGGAAACTTTTAACTGGGTTGTGTGTCATGGTCAATGGGCATCTTTGCTAGCCAACCAGTGCACACCTGGGACTGTAAGGGGCCTCAGGTTCCTTCCCAATATCCCTGGAATTTCTCAGGTTCATTGTTGAGGTCACTTGAAAAAGAGCTTGCCTGCCTGCCTCGGTTCAGGCTGATTCATTTGATCACTATCACAACCTTGGGAACCTGAGTATTAGCACGAGCTTAATGATTCCAAGGTGACTTGGAAAGGGGTACCACAGACAGCTAGTGCCTATCCAGTGCTTGTGCTTCCATGGCTGTGGTAGTAAGCATCTTGGGTACAGAGCTGCTAGTTCCCTGGGTCTGCTGGCTGCCTCTGGGAGACCACAGTGGAGTCAGAACTCTACAGTGTGTCAAATGCAGGAACTGCAGCAAGCCCAGTGGTTTGTAGAATCCCTAAGAATTCCCTAGCTCTTATGGAGGAAGAAAAACACTAGCTCAGAGTCCCCCAAATGGGAAAGAGTCGTCATATGGTACAGCCACATTGTGGGTACCATAGTCAGGTTTGT